CCAGATCAGAAGAAGAAGCAATTTTCCATCTTCTTTGTCCGGTGCGGACTCAACATTTGTTTGTGCATTATAGAGATGCATCTGCAGGTCGCCCGTTATCCACCCAGCGCTTGTCACACTGGTTGTGTGAGGCCATTTCTGAAGCCTGCAGAGCATCAGATTTAGAGCCTCCTGTCAACCTCAGAGCACACTCGACCAGGGGTATCGCATCTTCGACTGCTTTGCATAATGGTATGACAATGCAGGATATTTACACTGCGGCCACGTGGTCAACACTCTGCTCTTTCATTCGCTTTTATCTACGTGATGTGACGGCTCGTCCCATGACACATTCTGTCCTTAGTGTTTACAGAATGAATATTGTTGTTTCATGGAACTCCGTTTTACTTACATCTGTCTGCATACATTTCAGTGTGAGATGTTATCAATCTCAAGTTGTGATTGTTATTTTGGTTCTATTGTCACTAATCAGTTCACGACTATTGTTACCAATCAGTTCATTTGATCAATAAGCAGCTCTCCTGTTATTATTAATCTGTTCATACTGTTCAGCTGTAAACCAGTTGGTTCATGGCTCTTTTCAGCTTTTTTCCCTCCCCGTTGAAGTTTTCCGGGGCGTTCATGCATTCAGAACGCATAGTACACAACATGCGTCTGTGCATGGCACACATAATTACGCAATGCGTAATTACGCACATGGGGGGCTGAGTGACAAGACGTTTTTTGGGCAAGCTTCTGCTTCATACGGTGTTCGAATGGACCCAGTGAGGCGAGGACAACATCCGCTTCGCCCTTAACCCACTAAGCGACAGCCTTAAAGGGCAAAGCCTATACGAAATAGAACGTTGGTTACGTACTGTAACCCCAGATTCTATCGGGCATCACCGGCTCCTAAATGGCTGAAGAAAAAGCTATTTGGGAGCCGATTACCCGCTCGTAACGTAATTTATACGGATCGGGTGGGGCCCACACAGCAGGTGGGCATGGACTAAATTTTTCAGTGCAATGCTTCACATATCGGGATAAACCCATCAGCGACAGCCTTAAAGGGCTACGCCTATACTCATACTGGGGTTACAGTACGTAACCAACGACTTCACACTTGGAGAATTTCACAACTTCGATGGAGGGGGGTTTCCCCAAAAAAATCTCCACCCTGAGACCTTGTTTGAGAGAATGAGGGCTGTGACTGGCTGCCCTTTATGTCAATCAAGTGACAAATTTCATAGTGAGGATGGATGGTATGATTGGCTGACGTCTACTTTTTTAATGCCCTTGACGTATTGGGCACCCCTGTTCTAGAATAACTGTTCTGAAATTAAAACAAAATAATTTTGCACATTTGTTTGACGGTCTATAATCCTCTGCCACTGAAAGGCATAGGTGGGTCATAATATATTTGTGTGTGTGCCTCTAGTTGTGATCAAAATATCTCCTGAACAAATTTAATTAAACTTGTAGAAAGTAATGAATGGAGGAACTTCTACAACTGATAAAGATTTGTACTTTGTCCAATTCAAGATGGTTGACCTAAAACACAAAAATGACAGTCAGCTTGAGTTACTGAGTTAAAAGTGTCACTGTAGCAGCTGATATCTGTTGGGCGTAAGATTCCACACATTAGTTTCACAGATATACTGACCACAACTTTCACTCTGCTACTGTCTTTACATACTCTGCTCAACCTGTTTCTTATTTGTAAATATTTTTCTATCCTTAAAATGTGTTTTTGTCTTTCAGATACACCTGGACCTATACCTGGCCCTACCATTCTGTGTTCGTCTGTCTCTCCTTCCTGTCCTCTCAACCAGCCGGTCAAAGCAGATGGCCGCTTGTCCTGAGCCTGGTTCTGCTGGAGGTTTCTTCCTGTTAAAAGGGAGTTTTTCTTTCCACTGTTGCCACTGTGCTTGCTCAGGATGGGAGACTGCAACGAAGCCAAGATTCAACTTGTCTGCTGGATTCCTTAGATAGAGAACTTTACTAATTGGCTTTTATGTGAATGTTCCTGTAAAGTGCCCTGAGACAACTTTGTTGTGATTTGACGCTATAGAAATAAACTGAATTGAATAGACTAAAATACAGTGGCTCCAACTCTGTCATTTCTCATCAGAAGTTAAACTCCGTCTCAATGTCTTGCATGAAAGGCAGTGGGTGATATGCATTCTTTCAAGTAATGTTGGGCCTTTAATTTGTTATTAAATTGTTTCTGAATTCCTACTCAAGCAAATTTACAAAATTGAAAAAGAAAACCAAGCTTAAATAGCTGATCTCAGTCTGTAACTAAGATAAAGCTTTTCACATTAAACTTCTCATTGTCCCCTGCTGTGGGGCAAAGAGGGGAATGTTGGTTACTTATACACATTTTTCATTAGTAACGGTACAGCACAGCTTGACTCGACTCAGCGCGGTTCCAAGGTTTTTCCACTAGTAACGGTACATAGAACCAGTCCCTTGTCTCTGGGTACCAGCCGGGCCGAGCAGGTACCAAAATGTGACGTCAGAGCATTGTTGGTCACTGATTTGTTAGGGGGTGAAGTCTCTGTGGAACTAAGTGCAAACTTTACACAACATTTGAGCTGCCATTTTCTCTCCATCCATCCATTATCTTCCGCTTGTTCCAAAGTCGGGTCTCGGGGGCAGCAGCTTGAGCAGGGATTGTCCAGACATCTCTCTCCACAGCCACCTCTTCCAGTTCTTCTGGGAGGATTCCAAGGCGTTCCCAGGCCAACCGAGAGACATAGTCTCTCCAGTGTGTCCTGGGTCTCCCCCGGGGTCTCCTCCCAGTTGGACATGCCCGAAGCACCTCCCTAGGGAGGCGCTCAGGGAGCATCCTTACCAGATGCCCGAACCACCTCAACTGTCTCCTCTCGATGTGGAGGAGTAGCGGTTCTACTCCGAGTCTCTCCTGATAACTGAACTTCTCACCCTGTCTCTAAGGGAGAGTCCAGCTACACTGCAGAGGAAACTCGTTTCAACCACCTGTATCCGCAATCTCATTCTTTTGGTCACTACCCAGAGCTCATGACCATAGGTGAGGGTAGGAACGTAGACCGACCAGTTAACGGAGAGTTTTGCCTTACAGCTCAGCTCTCTCTTCACCACAATGGACTGGTACAGAGTCCACCATACTGCAGATGCTGCACCAATCCGTCTGTCAATGTCACGCTCCGTTCTTCCCTCACTCATGAACAAAACCCCGAGATACTTGAACTCATCCACTTGAAGCAGAACCTCACCCTCGACCTGAAGAAAGCAATCCACCCTTTTCTGGTTGAGGACCATGGCCTCAGATGTGGAGGTGCAGATTCTCGTCCCAGCCACTTCACTCTCGGCTGCGAACTGCTCCAGTGACAGCTGAAGATCACGGCACGATGACGGGATGGAATACTGAGGCCACCGAACCGGAAACCCTCCACCAGCTGGCTGCACTGAGAAATTCTGTCCATAAAAGTTATGAACAGAATCGTTGACAATGGGCAACCCTGGCAGAGTCCAACTCCCACCCTGAAGGGGTCCGACTTATTGCCGGCAATGTGAGCCAAACTCTCACACCGCTTGTATAGGGACTGAACAGCCCGTAACAACGGGTCTCCAATCTCATACTCACGGAGCACCCCCCACAGTGTACCCAGAGGAACACGGTCAAATGCTTTCTCCAAATCCACAAAACACATGTAGACTGGATGGGGAAACTCCCAGTTGTGGTTCATCCCATGTGGAAAAAAAAAACCTCCCTCTGTTGTCCACAGTGTAACTCCTACCCACTTAAATATCTTGCTCGAAAAACATTCAAGTTTACTTGCATTTTCAGTTCAATTCCAGTCACTCGTCTCAAAAACTAAAGCATTCAATCTTCACATCCCTCAGCGACAGGTGACATTGACGTACCACTTGTTTTTGATATTTTTTCTACTAATGCAGCTGTGCACGGGCAATGCATGTCTCCTTGCTGTGACCAGCCGCAGCTCCAAGAGCAGTTCCAAAAGGATTGTCCTAGGAAGCCTAAAATTTCTGACTGAGCCAGTCCATTATCAGGGGCCAGAAAATCCTCTCTCCATCTAAATACAGTACACGCTGTCAGCATAGTGCACCATTTCTTGTATCCTCTAATAAGGCTAAAGACATTGTTGTTAAAGCTATTTTCTGCACCACTTTACACATTCTTTTATACCCACTCATCAAATTGCATACATGTGGTGGCACACACATTATGGGAACATACGATGACAATACATACACATTATTATTATTATTATTTTTATTATTATTAATTGTCATCATGTGTGTCCATTGTGTACAGTCAGTTTTCACCTCAACAGTTTCCCAGTATAACCTGCAAGTGTTGCCAATGGACCAATAACCATGGAAACGTGCGTACGCCAGCCATGAAGTTGGTGTGGGGCTGTGCACATTTCCACGTTCATTTCATTCTTGATACATCTGAATTTTTTTTTTGTAAAAAAGGGCATGTGCCACATTTTTGTGTGGACGCACGCTTTGTACATGAGGCCTTAATTGGTTTGTTAGCACTCAGCACATATGCTGTGAATAATTGTGAGCTGCTATCACAATAAGTTTGCTGAATAGGAAGCCGAGTATCTGTAAAATTCACTGAGTTAGAGACATGTTTTACTCGCTGAGCTTGGTTAGCTGTGGTGACCATCTTGACTTGGGTTGACTCTAAAAGTGAATCAGTTGTTCATCTAAAAATTACTTTCTGAGAGTTTCATTCAAACTGTTGCATCATAAGATGTGTTAACTGTATAGACCAACACACACGATGATACTGAACATGTTGTCAACATGTTAAAACCTCAGGGTGCATTAAAGCTTGCTGTCATTTTTCAAGTGTTGCTTAGGATTCTTCCTGTCTGCCTCCTTCATCAGAAAGAGTTCCTGTGCCTGGCCGTGCTTCAGGGAAGACTCAAGGTCTTCTATAATTTCAATGGTTCTCTGGTGGATGCTGAACCTGATGATCCAGCCTCAGAATACCTGAAGATCAGTGATGGTGAAGCAAAGTCTGTGAGTCTCAAGTCTTTCCAACTCTTTGTTTGCACTGCATTTTCACTAAATGGTAAATGGACTGTACTTATACAGCTCCTTTCTATCTTATCCAGATATTCAAAGCTCTTTACAACAATATGTGCCTCGTACCCATTCACACACTCTACTAGATCTATACAAAGACTAATCACAGCTTTAAATCACATTCATACACCGATGGGACACACATCAGAGGCGATGAGTGTCTTGCTCAGGGACACTTTGGCATGTGACTGCTGGTGGAATCGAACCCCCAACTCTTGCATTGGAGGACGACTGCACTAACCACTCAGCCACAGCCGCCCTGACTAAGACAACCGTCTTCCTTCATTCTCTGACCATCAGTCAAACTCTGGACCAGTTTTAGAGCAAACTGGAAATTTAGTTTATGTATTAAAATTACTTAATATTTAAATCACTTTAAAGTTCAATCCAATTCAGTTCGACTTCTCTTCTTCTCCATGTGACTTGTTTCTAACTGTTAAGCTGAATGTCTTCATCGTGACAAGCAAACAAACAATCGTGGTGAGGCAACCTTCAAAAACTCTCTTCACCATCCGAGTCGACGGCCCTGGTATCCCTCAGTTCCACGACAGCTACTATCTGGGAGGAGTACCACAGCGCAAGATGCCTGACAGGTGGGTCAGCACTTGTTCCAGTCTTTAAAAATTGTCACTGTAGTGAACTAGACCTCCAACATCAATTTGTCTCTGAGGACCTTCAGGGGACAGGAACTGCTATTTCATTGATTTGAATCCAGAAATACAAATTATCTCATCAAGACACTATTTAATTGTATCCTGAATTAATCAATTGAAAGAACACTCTTCTTTTTATATTATCATTACTATTTTAGAATATCTTGATAATCAAAAGTGTGTTTAGTTCATACCATTTCTAAATGTTGAAGTGAACCACTCATTTGAATCAACTGTGAAACAATATTAATGATTTTTAAACCTCATTAGACTTTGATAATACAGTTAAATGCCTATTTACGAAGTAAGTGTGCATTTAGTCTTCTGTCTGAATGAGGAGTAGTGGATGTCGGTCGAAAGTCAGAGACAAGTTATGAGAACAAAGTGTCTTGTTTTTAAAACTCGCAGACAGTAAATAAGAGCTGCTGGCACCTGCATCCTTTCATTTCTTAAAAGCATTTCTCCGTCTGTACTAACCATTCTTAAAACATTCCTGCTGTTTCCTGACTTCTAGTGACCCTCTAACATCACTAGAACTACACCCCTGCTGGTTGTTTCAACCAATCAGGAAGTGGATACCCTTTAAAAGGCAACACTTCTTGGAACTATTCAGTCTTATGCTCCTTTTCCATTAGTACCTGTAGTACCGGTACAGCACGGCTCTACTCTACTCGGTACGGTACAGGTTGTGTTTCCATTATGCTTTCAGTACTGGTTCCAGTGAGCGGGGTTCAAATTGACGTCACCACCTCTCACCAGCTGGTGGCGCTGAGACGCAGAAACTATTTTCAGTACAGGTTGAGAATTTATGTTATTTTGAAGTTGTGTGTATATATGTATGCATGTATGTGTGTATGTACATGTGTATAAATATATATATATATATATATATATTTATTTATACACACATGTGTATATATATGTGTATATATATATATATATATATATATATTATATGTGATATATATATATATATCACATATGTATATACACACAATTATGTATATATATATGTATATATATACACATATGTATTTATATACATATATATGTATTTATATATATTCATATATATTTATATACATATATGTATTTATATACATATATATGTATTTGTATATATATTCATATATATTTATATACATATATATGTATTTATGTATATACATATATATTTATCTATATATATTTATAGATATAAATATCTCTTTAAAATAAATCCAGCCGCTGCTCCAGTCCGAGAAATTGCAAATGACGGATTATTGTTTTGAAAAGTTTCTGAAGGATCCAGTGACTCCGCCCCCGACTCTGCCCCCACCCAATCAGTGACCCACAGTGTTCTGACGTCACGTTTTTGTACCTCTTCGTACCGGTTAGAACCACAGAGCCATGGGTACTGAAAATAGTAACAGGTGCTAAGTACTGGTACTAATGGAAAAGCCTCAGAACCGGGCCAAGTAGGGTACAGTCGGCCCGTACCGGTACTAATGAAAAAGGGGCATTAGTCTTCACGAGTCTTAGTCTTGGGCTTAGTCTTCGTCGTCTTTTGGAGTCTTCGCAATCTTTTCCAGTCTTGCTGGAACTTTCAGTCAAAGATGAGTCTCAACTAAGTAGCGGATGGATTTGACCATGTGCCAAGGGTCTCTCCATTCCAGCGTAGTCACAGCCTGCCTCGGCTGTGACTCAACCCGAGCATTAAAAGCTCAACTTCTAAGGAAGCTTATTCGGTTGAACCGAACACGATTTCTGATGACCCTCAGCTACTCTAACTGGAGACGCTGAAAAGGGAGCGTACCAATGGACTTCTGTTCCGGAGTGGATTCATCCTCTGCTAAGGTAACAAAGTCGCTGCACGTCCTGAAGTGTAGCGGAGGGCTGAGCTGGATGTCGGAGGAAGGGTGCCATGTTCTGGTTCAACACATAACTTTCATCCATCTAAACTTCCTCCTTAAATCTATTCCTCCTCTTTAAACTTCTATTCGCCAGTAAATCAATCTAGATGCCTTCAGAGATGAATCAGTTTCAATCAGTAATGTTCTGTTGTCTTGTTTAGTAAAGCGTGCCGAGTTTATTAATCAGAACAGATCAGCAAATCAATGTGTACATGTTTTGATGTTAAATTTTGATTCTGTTAAATAAATGACCGCATTTATTCTGATGGGTCAAAGATAAAATGGCGTCTCATGTCACTGATTAAACAATCCACTCACAAGTTATCTTGGTCACATAACAGAAATTTAACTCGAAAAAGAAAAGAATCCGTTGTAATTAAACAATTAATATTCTTTGTGCTTGAACTAGCTTTAAAAATAATTAATTAGTAGTGAAGCTAACAGCTAGCTCACTACATCATCCACACTTTGTCAAGTTCAGGGTTCATCTCTAGGAGGATTTTGTATTCCTCTGGTTAGTAATTTTACATCCAAAGATTGCTTGTGGTGTGAAAGATGCTCTGTAAAACTCTTCAGTAGTGGCAGAATGAGGTCTTGTGCCTTTAGGCGTGGCATGTCACTCAAGCCCTGTTGAGTGTCTGCAGCCTCTGCAGCTATGTGCTGAGAGGAAGAGTCTCTGCTGTGCATTTAGTTCTAACAGAACAGACTTGGTGCTGAGTTCACACAGTGATTTGTTCACTTTAAAGCTGATCAAAAGAAGTTTGAACCTCATGGTAACTGGTTTGAGTTTAGAGGGGAAGAGCTAAATAGAAAAACCCTTATAGGATTTTTTTTTTAGACAAAATAAATTAAAGCATCATGGTAAATTATTTATTTTATAGAGAAAACATTAGATAAAAAGGCTGGCCCTCAACTGGAATCAGTTTTTAGTTTTTATTGCGACTCCTTGTTAAAATGGTTTGGACCATGAGTTCAAAGGTCACACGGGTTCAAAAAGAAGTTTTCGGGTCATGTATAGTTGTAGCTCCATTCGAAGGTCTGAAGAGACTCAGGATAAACCTGTCAAAGAGGACCAGCTGTTCAATTTGTGGTTAAAACAATCTTCAAGCTGTTAAATGGCAGTGGCAGAACGACTGGTTAGTGGTTAGTCCAGGGTTCAGTCACTTTGGACCTGAAGCTGAAGCTTTTGTCCTTGGGTACTCATGTCCCAGGAGAAATTGATGGTCGGCCTGTTTCCGAGACCGTCGGGAGTCTGATTCAGACAAGCTTGATTCTTGTTTTTCTTCAGGCAGACAGATTACTTTTTTCTTCAGCCTCGAGTCCATCTGGGCATTCTGGTTCCGAAAAAGCCTAATTGTGGGATTCCATTCCACTGATCCACACTATGAGTCTCCTTCAAGGTCGAACCCACCACGCTGACGAGTCCCAGAAGCCGCAGGTGACCTGCGATTCTCAATCACCTCCACCTTACGGTTAAGCTCGTAAACCAGATGATTCAAAGTTCCCACAGCGAGGACCAGACCTTCACACTGACTCGGAAGCTTTTCCATGGCCAAAACTGCTCCCGGTGTCTTCTTCAAAAGTCGATAAAACAGAGCCCCGCCGATGCCAAAAAGCAGAGACCCTGCTATCATAATTCCAAATATATAAACGTCTTCAACATCCTCCTGAGACAGTGTTCTGGTGAACTGCCAGGTAACCACTCCCCTTTGCCAGTCC